GGGGTTGGGGTGTGTGGCCACACTGCAATCCCTTCTCCTTCACTCTCCTCTTGGGATTTTGGGTATGCATGCACAAGCACCTGGTGTGAATTTTAAGCCGCCTGGTTCAGGACTTGAACTGCAGTCAACTATGTGAGAGTCCAGCGACATAACCAATACACCATCGACTGGCCCCAACCCAGTCTTTTAACTCCTAGGTTATTCACACTACAATATACTTGACTGTGCATAAAAATAATGTACATATAAGTGTATCCATTGTACCTTTTTCGGTACTAGAAAAAAGATTGAAAACGGCCCAAATTTCCATTATTTGAGGACTGGAATGATGGTACATTCATAATGGGATATGCTGCAGCTAACAAAAAGAATGTGCTAGCACTCTATATATCAGTAAGAAAAGGTTGCCAAAATTCACAGTAGAGTGAAAAAAAGCTAAGAATGAAATGTGTATGGTGTGCTACCAACTGTATTTGGAGGTGTTCTGGACTGAATTGCATCCCCCTCCTAACATATAGGTTATATGTTATAGGTTATAACATATAGGTTATAGGTTGAAGCCCTAACCCCCACTGACCATATTTGGAAATAGGGTTCTTACAGAGGCAATGAAAGTTGAATGAGGTATAAAAATGGGGCCCTAATCCATTTCAGAGCATGCACAGAACAGAGGCCATGCAAGGCGACCAGGAGAGAACAGCCATCTACAGGCCAAAGAGAAAGGCTTCCAGAGATGCCAGATTTGCCAGTCCCTTGATCTTGGACTTTTAGCCTCCAGAACGATGAGAAAAAAAAAAAAAATTCTATTTTTTACCTCTAGTAGATCTAATAAAGATTTTGGTACTGAGTGGTGGGGTGCTACTCCAACAAATACCTAAATATGTGAAAGTGGCTTTGGAATTGGGTGGAAGCTGGAAGAGTTTCGAGGCACGTGTTAGAAAAAGCCTGCATTGGGAACCAGCAGTTAGCATAATGGCTATGTCGCTGGACTCCCACGTAGTTGACCACGGTTCGCGTCTCGGACCCGGTGGGCTTAAAACTCACGCTGGGCGCTTGTGCATGCGTGCCCAAGATCCCAAGAGGAAAATGGAGAGAAGGGATTGTGG